GCAGTAAGGTGAGCTGAGTGGCATATTTTGTAATTTGGAGTGATATTTTTATTTTTCTCTCATGTTTTTATTAATTAACTTTTCGGTAAAACCTATCTGCCCTGTCATTACTTAAATTTTGAGATGGGTAAAGCCATGTCAACGCTACATGTTAAAAATTACCAACTAAGTTTGAGATTAACGGAAAGTTAATGTAGAATAATGTTTGTGGTTAAACAACAAGTTGTTTATCTGAATTGATTAATTTAAAAGGATTATTTGCCTCTATTTTTTTTGATAAATTTGTCCCTATAATCTTATTTAAATAGTAAATTTAAGGTTTTTGTCGCAGTTGGCTTTTTGGTCTGGTTCCTATCAATGATTAATTGAAAGCTAAAATGAGCGTTGTGCAGCCAGCCAGCCAAACAGCATGTCCCTTTTCGTGATTGGAGGTAATAAAATGACCAGCTATCATCTTTGTTCATCGCATGCTGTGGCATTTGAGTATGTCTCAGGAAATGTTGGGGTTTCTTCTTTCCATAGAAAATTAAGGAGGTAAATTTAAAAAACTCTTAATTTTTTAAGAGATAAAAAGGTGGTGTTTGATTTACTTGTTTTAACCAATTGACAGTGGCTGGTTTCCATGGCACAACCGTTGCAATGGCAAAAATAGGAATTTGATATAAACATGTGTAATTTTATTATTATTATTTTTCTTTTGGGAGATGATTTGTAAAAGGAATTTAACTTAATTCCTAATTCTAAATCTCATTGAAGTTCGGTTGCTAACTTCACTTTTTATTCCTGTGTTGCCTTGCATCTCTGTAGAATTCTTCTTTCTATGCCAAAGTTGTTTTTTCCGGCATCAATTTGGCGAGTTTTGTCCAAATTGAACTTGCTTTATTTTTTCTATTGACTCTGAACTCGGCATAGCGAGTTTCTGACTCGAGGAGCAAGAGAGTCGACGACTGAAACCCAAAAATAACTCATCTTCATCACTGTTGTCCGTCTCCGTGGATCCAACAACAGAGGACTCGACATCATGAAGAGGTTCGACATGTTTAATGGAGGGAAAGATGGGTGGAGAAGAGAAATGAGGGTAGTTTGCCAGTGAAAGAAGATTTAATAATGAGGAGAAGAGTGTGTTTGCAAGATATTTGAAGAGAGGAGGGACTCCTCTTCGATTTGGTTGGTTCTCCTCTTCCTCATCTTCGATTCAGATGGTGGTTAGGGTTGGGGTTGAGTAGTGATGAAGACGGAAGAGAAATTGATATTGACCAAACTAAAAATTTTACTTTTTTTAATAAAAACTCAAATTGTTCATTTAATTCGATCTATACAGTGAGTGAGTTATATACCTATTTATATAATAAACCACATAAATCATCCCCTAAAATCGTCTTTCAAAAATTATCCCCCGAATCATTATCCATTATAAATATATTTGTGTCTATACCAAGTTAGTCACATTTAAAGTAATTAGAGTTTTTTTTTTTTGTTTTTGGAACAAGGATAATTTTAAAAAAAGAAGATAGGGAGGCTACTAATGCAACTGTTAAAATTCTAACATTTTGCCAAAAGTATGGTGCATCTAGACCAATGCAGCTAGAGCTGCGGGTGCAAAGTAACTAGAGATTATACAAGCAATTGCCACCCAAGTCTAAATTCAATGCATCAACATTTTAATTCATGGATTGCACAACTGTTTTCTTAGCCCTTCCCTTACCTGGCAATAAGATGCCAAAATAAGATGGATCAACGAGCAAAATTTCCTAATGGAAGCCGCGTATTATTTTACGTTAAAATTTTATTTTAGTCCTTCGACTTTAATGAAAGATTCTCTTGTAGTTTTTTTACTGAAGATAGTTTATTTTTAGTCATTCAAGTTTCTTATCCCACCTTTTTTTAGTCTTTTTAGTATTTTTTTGCACATATAGTCCATTAAATAATAAAAATTTTAAAATAAAAAAACTAAAAAATGAGCTATTTTAAAGTAAAAAAACAAAAATATGATTTTTTTAATCTCATTACTTTAAAATTTTTTATTATTTAATATGTTACGTATGCAAAAACAATGTTTTGAAACCTGGATCGGATCGGTCGATTTGACCGAGACCTGATAGGAGAAACGGCCTGGGTGGACACCCAGGCTCGTTTTGGCGATCCAACCGATCCAACAGATCAAACCTGGAAAATTCGCGCGACCCGTCCAACCCGGCAAACCTGGTAAACCGACCGGGTGAATTGCTCCACGGCCCGTGCTGCTAACGACGCTCCTGTAATGCAATTTTTTTTCTTTTTCTTTTTTCCCACTGTCGGTCTCATTCTCAGTCTCTTTCTCAATCTCAAGATTCTCAACTTTTCAACTCTCAAATCTCTTCTCCTCCACCGTGCCTTCGTTCACTGACCTTCACCCAGCAGTCTTCACCCACTGCCATCGACCTTCACCGGCCATCTGAGGGGTACCTTAATGCCTTTGTTTCTTCTATTTGTTGGTAAGCTCATTGGTTTTCAATTTCTCAGCAATTTGTTGCATAATTTTCAGAAATCCTTATCTTTTCTAGTTGGGTAATGCTCTTGAATCTCAATTTGTTGCAAAATTTTCAATTTATTGTAGATGTTCTAGTTGGGTAATGCTCCTGGAATCTCAATTTGTTGCAGAGTTTTCAATTTATTGTAAATTTTCTAGTTGGGTAATGCTCTTGGAATCTCAATTTGTTACAAAATTTTCAATTTGTTACTTCACAATTTGGTTTGCAATTTGCTTCAGGACCTGGTTTTCAATTTGTTGCAGAATTTTCAGTAATTTGTGATGAATTTTCATTTTTTCAAAGTTTATAGTGTAGCCGTGGGAATTACTTGAGATATCTGTAATGACAAAGGGTTTGTTTCATTATTGAATTGATGCTACTAGTACAGTCTGGTCTCAAAACATTGTGTATTTTTATCAAGTTGTGTGGTTGATCAAAATCATCGGAATTGAAAATATTTAGTAAATTTTCAATATCTTGATTCTTTTATTTGTTGTAGAATTGAAAAAATTGCAAGTATGACATTTGTAGTTGCAAAAATATTTAGCCGTAAGAATTACTTGAGATTTGTAGTTGTATGACATTTTTTTAATCTATTTATCGAGTTTTTAAACTTGTAGTTACTACAAATTGCAAGGAAAAATAGTAAAAACAACAGCAGGATTCGGCCGGAAAAGTTAGCAGTGCAATTTCTAGCGCTTTTGCTTTGAACCGATTATCTGATCGATTGGACCAATCGAACCAGACAAACTGAGAACCGATGAGAAAATTGACTCTATCACTGGTCCAGTTTTTAAAACCATGCGCAAAAAGATAACGGAAGATTTAAAAAAGAGCTAAATAATAACTTTAGGTACTGAAAAAAGATTTTCTTAAGTCGAGGGATTAAATTTTTTTTTTGTTAAAATAAAGGGACCAAAATAAAACTTTACCATTATTCTATTGGTGTTTTGGTTGGACTGTTGAAGTTGTTTCCAGCAAACAAGATATTTTTACCATTATGGACGGTGTTTTACCGTTTGAAGTGACCGAACCATAAAACAAGGCTGAACTGATTATAAAACATAAAAAATTAATTGAGAAAAATCCTTAATGTTAAGGAATTTTTTATTTAATAATTAAGATAATATAATTTAAATTATACTATAGTTTATAAGGTTATCTGTTTTGTGACAAACTGTAAGATCAGGACCATAAAAAAAAGAGGAGATGGGTTCAATATCAAGGATCACTTTCTTTGATAATCTTGATCTCACAGTCCGCTCATTATAGGATGGATTGTAATACAATTTTTCATACTCTATATGTCTAATTATATTTAATTTTTTTATTAAAAAAACTATCAAAAGTATCCGGATTATAAAATAAGGCTAAACTGAAATATAAAACATAAATATTAAATAAAAATATTTCTTAATATATAAAATTGATTTTTATTTAATAATTAATGTAATATAATTCCATATAATTTGCACAGCACTAGACCTTTTTATGCCCAATTATATCCATCTTTAAATTAAAAAAAAAAAAAAAATCAATCATCTCTTCTTCTTCTCTCCCATAAAATCCCATTACCCTTCCCTTCGCTGCATCCGCTTGCTGCGAAAACGACTCCCCAACCCACTTTCTACCCCATCTTTTCTCTTCAAAACTCGTATGAGACTTTGACTTTTCAACTCTCGTTTCCTGCTTGCGTTTTGTTTCTTTGTTGCAGATCAGCAAATTCAACTCAGGGAAGCTTTCAGATCACATATTCTTGGTTCCATCAAGGTACATTTCTGTTAAACCTGGACCCATTTTGGTGATACCTCTTTTTCTCCTTTTGATCTCTGTTTCGATCAGTTGAAAATAGATCAGTTAAAATGGGTTTTGCTTAAAGTTTCTTTTATCTTCTGGGTGAGGAAACTAAGAAAGAGATGAAATTTTGTGGAAAGTTTATCCCTTTTGACGTTGGTTTTGTTTTAAAGAAATGAAAGCTACTTCCTTGATTGGGTTTAAGCCCCAAATACTGGCTGTGTGAACTTGCATTCATGTTTGTCGAGACACAAATGTTGGATCGACTATTTAAAAGTTCTACATTTTGCATTTTTCTTGCAAATGAAACAGCTGACTTGGTTAATTTTCTGCTTTCTGTTTGCTTGCTTTAAAACTTTTAGCAGCTGATCTGGAAATCAAATTAATATAAGAAATCAAATTGGTGGAGGAAGTTAAATTAGGGCTGATCCTTGGAACTAGATTGGTGGGGTTAATTTTGGAGAGATAGATAGAGAAGGGTGAGGTTAGATCTACATTATACCTGGAGCTATGTCTTTCATTGGTACCCAGCAGAAATGCAAGGCTTGTGAGAAGACAGTGTATCCGGTGGAACTTCTCTCAGCAGATGGGGTTTCATACCATAAGTCCTGCTTCAAGTGCTCTCACTGCAAAGGGACCTTAAAGGTGGTAATGTTTAATTGTTGGTTTATTTTCTGATCGTTGGTTGACATGGATGCCAATGTAGGTTTTTTACATATTGGTTTGGTTAAAGGAAGTGGACAAGAATTATCCATTACAGTTTATGAAATTTTTTTTCTTGATGACCTTTTGCTAGTTAAATTAGCAGCTCTAATCAGAAGATGTACTTAGTAGATATTCTAAAGAGTAACTTGAGGAGAATTGTTTATGCCCTGGAGTTGCATTTTGTTCCTCTTAAATTTGTGTGCTGCAGTTTCTGCTCATAACTAAGATGTATAACTTGGTTATTTTCCAGCTGAGCAATTATTCTTCCATGGAAGGTGTTCTGTATTGCAAGCCTCACTATGAGCAGCTCTTCAAGGAGACTGGTAGTTTCAACAAGAATTTTCAGTCACGTATGTCTTTATTATTAAGCTCTCTTCTTCTTTTTTCTTTTTAAAAAAAATTCTCAAATGTTGTGTTTTGCCTTTTAATTGGCCATGAATTTCATTGTTAACAGCTGTAAAGTCAGCTGAGAAGTTAACTCCGGAACTGGTAAACTTCCCTACAACACTGCATGTCTTAAACTGTTAAATTAGAAGTGTGAGAATTCATTTTATAGTCTGTGATATATACAAGTGTTCTTGCTTGCTGATCCCCAATAGCTTGATTTGATTACAGACGAGGTCACCTAGCAAAGCTGCCAGCATGTTTTCTGGGACACAAGACAAATGTGCTACTTGTGGGAAGACTGCTTATCCACTAGAGAAGGTATGGTTTGAAAACATACTACATAGTTCAGTGGACTCTTTCTGCAATTACAAGACTTTGCTTGCTGACTGCCTACAGTTTCTTTTTTGATTCCTGTGTCCAAAAGGCCTTGGTTATGACCTGGGGTGTGAGTATGTGAGTTTGGCACACTAGTTTGAATGTTCATAACTTCATATGCTTCTTTATTCTTGGAAGGTTCCTTCTAAAGAGAGCAGACTGTGCCTAATGTTTTAGGTCTAGACTATGGTTGGAGTATGCTTGTTTCTTTGTTTTTAAAGGCTTTTTATTTGATTGTCTTTAACTTAAAGTCATATTGTGGACTTGCTCAATTCAATTTCAAGTAGAAGCAATGTTGAAGCTATGATAGTTACATAATAATTCAGCATGTTGCTTGTAATGGAGTATTACCATCCAAAGCCTGAATGCCAGCTGGTTCTGCTCTTGGACTGATAAGATGATGTTATCCAGATCTCTAAGGGATTGGATGTCTCTAAAATTGCATGGAATGGCATACACCTATTGTTTAGTGAATTTAAAGATAAAGTGCTAAAAAAAATTTAAGAAGATAAGATGAAGTCCCACGTAAATGTACTTTGCTATTCTATGATTTGGCCTTATGTTTCAGCTTTTGCTGTCAATGAAATTTACGTTAAGTCTTTTATTTTTTGTTATCTTGATTTTTCTCATTTGAATGCCCTCCAACCTGATCCTGGGTTTATTGGCTGCAGGTAACCGTGGAGGGGCAGTCGTATCATAAATCATGTTTCAAGTGCTCTCATGGTGGTTGCTCTATAAGCCCATCAAACTATGCAGCCCTTGAGGGGATTTTGTATTGCAAACACCATTTCTCCCAGCTTTTCAGGGAGAAAGGAAGCTACAACCATCTTATAAAGTCTGCATCAATCAAACGCGCACCAGCCTCTGTTCCAGATGCTTGAATACCTTATTTATTTATCCATGTATGTGTGGCTTTCTTTTCCACTTTGCTGGTGTGATTTCCCATGTAAGCTCTGATTCTTACCTGGGAACCATACCTAAAGAAAGCCTCATTATTTTACTTCTGACTTTTTATGTTTGTCGTATGTTCTTGGTGTTGATTGATCTACAGGTGTGCTTTCCCCTAGTTGTAAATGACCTCTAAGTGACAAAGTCATACGCAAAGGGGATCATTTCTATCAGTTTCCGATTTCACCTTCATGACGAACATTATCTTGTTTGAAATGGCAATACTTTTTCCTGGGTGTTTTTACTGTTATACTTAGCACTTATCTTCTTTTCTTCATTGTCATGGAATGAAGCACTGGTATAAAAATCTCACATCAAATATATAATTAAAAAATATACTAATTAAATATAAAGAGGGTTACTTAACTTATTGGCAGTTGATTTTAAACCCCTGCAAGTAGATCCAGTTTTTGCTATGTACACGGTATTTTGGATTGAGTATATTGGGTTGAATGCGGGGTGGAACAACGTGGCTTGAAAAAAACAAATTAGGTTGTCGTTCTAGTTCCTTCTAATTGCTCGTCTTCCTATGTACCCTAGCAACAGATATCATTATCCATTCTTCGCCTTCACTTTAATTTATTGACTACACAAATGATGCCTCTTCTCAACTAATTTTCACCTTCAATTTTCCTTTCAATTGTTCATTAGATTTTTGCAGATGAAATCGAGGTTGGTTGGACCTTGATTGGACCAACTATCAATTTTGTAGATGAAATCAAGTTTGCTTGCACCACCTCAGAGTAAAAAAAAAACAGAGTATAGTGAGCAGAAGAGTTTTGGGAGGTGTGGAGAAGGAATACCAGGGGAGGGTTTATATAAAGAAAAAGAAGGAAAGCCTATGAAAATGGGATTTAATCAAATTAAGAGAGCTGATTTGGATTCTTGCTTACTGAGCAGTAAAGGAGAAATCCCTATAAATAAATCCAAAAGGAGACTAGGAGGAAATTCCTAATGGTAAAAATCCCCGTAGAAAATCTAAAGAACAATTGAAAGGAAAATTGAAAGCGGAAATTAGTTGAGACGAAGCATCATTGGTGTAGTCAATAAATTGAAGGAAGTGAAGGAGAAGAATGGGTAATAATATCTATTGCTGGGGAACGCAGCAAGAGAGGAGCAATTAGAAGGAACTAAAACGACAACCTAATTTGTTTTTTTCTTTTTTCTTCTTAAGATAAGCCATGTAAGCGTACAACGTGGCAAGTCATGTCTTTCGATCCTGTTTTCGACCCAATATATTGGACCCAAATAACATTGATCTTAAATTAGATGTAAGCCAGTGTAAGGAACTGCCCACAATTTGTTATACAGCCTAACTGTTTCATACCAGACTATTCCAACAAAAAAAATAATAATAAAATGAAATCCAAATTCTAGAGAGAGCAAGTGCTTATGAGCTTGACAAACATGCCCTTATATATTCTTGTCAGCGGAGCATGCACCATTCGATTTATTGTATGGATTCTCACACTCGGAGGGTAAAGATCAAGATCTAACTTACGATGCATCCAACTTTTCAGCTTTCCTTCCAGTTTCCCCCCAATGTATAACAGATAAACACTTTAAATCTTCTTCCAAACCAAACACAAGTAGTTCACCCATGAGAATGCTTTCCTTCCTCTGTCTTTTCACCTCTGCATTGGGTTTCTTCTCCTCCATTCCCATGGCTTCTTAGGTTTTGTGGATTTCCACAAGCCACGTTGCTTGCTTCGGGCCTCCTTCTGCCACTGGATCATTTAATAAAAGTACATAAGTTAATGAGAATCAAACCTAAAGAACATGAATAATTAAGGATGGCTGGATATTTACATTAGCAAACTCCAGTCTCTGATCATAGTCTACATAATGCCAGGCAAATCCTTTTCTGAGCATTTCTTCCTGTTAGAGATATTGAAAGATTATATATACGATACACATATATGACAAATATGTTTTAGTTCTATGAAAATACCAGATACCCTTAATGTATGTTGATTTATTAATAGTATTTTGGTATTTTCATAACGTGCATTTTGGACCGAAAAAGCCAAGCTCTATACATATTAACAATGAGATACACTACCTTCGAACTTAATTATAATAATAATAATAATAATAATGATAATAATACAGTACCTGAACAAAAGTGTCATTGCAGTATACATCACAGACAAAACGCCTATATTCGTCTTGCCCATAGACCAAAAGTCTCAAACACCTCCCCTCAACAAGCTTAACAAGCTCTTCCTTTGCTTCATTCCCGTACTCCATTCCCAACTCCGGGGCATCAATACCCCTAGGGATTTAGAACAGTGGAGAAACAGAGGAAATGATGAGCAGAGAATTGCAGAAATTGGGGGTTTATGGAAGATAGTACTCAAATCATATTCAACTCTTGGAAACACTAATACAAGAATGGAACAACCTAATACACTTGAAATCACAGTTAGACTCCATCCTAGTAGAAATCTTTATTAAAAGATATAAATATTAACAAATATATAGTAAATAAAAATTACAATTTAACTCCTATACACTCATAAGCATAATAATGGAATCCTAGTATATACAGAGGAATTCCTACCTAGTACTTATCTCATGAACCACATCTTGCTAAATCAGTTTAGTATATGGAAATCAAACAAGGACACTAACGTTCATGCTTTTATTAAGGACATAAACATTTTTCCTTTACTAATCAAGGATGCAGACTTTCCTAATTTTCTACCGCACAAGGATTAATTGGATGTCCATGCAAACATACTCTAAACACTCAAAGCAAAGTACACATCATTGATTAGTAACTTATGAAAGTTTGCATCATTGATTGATAAACAGAGAAGTAATGTGTATTTACCTGAGCCGAATGCGATACTTTTTAGTAAGAATCTCCCGCCGGTTGTCAAGGGTTATGATTCTATTAATAAGAAAGAGAATACTAGCATCAAGAATTTCAAGAAATTAATGTCAAACCAAAAATGTAAAATTACATATGCATTATCATAATATATAAACAGGCCAACCTGTATCCAGATCTAATAATCAGTCCGTGAAGTTCATAGGCCTTTGTATAATTCCTGCATCTGCGCTCCTTTTTTCTCTTATAAACAGCTTGCTTTACATTTAATGGGATGCTCTCTGATCCCTGCAGTTGATCTTCATCATCAGCATCAACAATCTTCACGTAGACTGTCATGCCATCGCCGTCTGCGACATCTTTGGCGCACACCTTATCATTTGATCACAAGAACTTTTTCTCAGTTTTTGCACTTAGAAGCTTTAAAAACAGGTAGAGAGATATATATAGTAGTACTTATACTTACTGGTAAAGTAAACAATGCAAACTTAACTCCTTTTGGAAGAGGAGTAGTAGCATGGAGGTCTACTGCATGCCGATAATCAAATTTGCGGATCCAACAGTCGAAACACATTAACCCTTCTTTCTAGCTACCTACAAGCGAAGCTCTTGGTTTTGACAATACAAAGGAGTTGCAGAGTTAGCGCTACTCTTCGGTGGTGGTTCTGTCCCGGTGATTTCCAAGAGATCTGAACATCCAAGGGCATATCCACGTCTGGACTCCTGGCTTCCGGAGACGGGAATCCGGAACCCTCTGCGGAACCAGCAAACTAGAAATCTATTTCATTTCATGCAACGATATTGTGAAATAGAGGTTCCTACATCATTTCTTTTTCCCCAGAATATACAGCCAACAGCAATGCTAAGGCAACAGCAATGCTAAGGGCACTCGCCTAGCAGTTTTAGGTGCACTCGCTTTTTGCACTCTCCTGATAACATTTCCCCTTTCATTGGGCCACGTAAGCTTCCTTCAAAACTTTCAGGGCAACTTCTGAAACCAAAATAACGTGGCCGAATTTAAAAATATATTAAAGCAAAACCAAAACAACCTTTTTTATATTCACACTATATGTTCACAACTGTTTCCACTTATCAATTATATAAGTTTTATATCTTGAACCTGAAATGGATCGGAACCAATTCAAAACTACTTTCTTTCCAAAAATTATGTTTTTCTTATTTATTTCCCTTTTTATTTTTATTAACTAAAAATAACCTGCAGCACTTTTTACGAAAAAGTCTAAAGCTC